ATGATGGAGGCATATTTGTCGTCGCGATGGAGATTGTGGGATCTCCCATGGAGGTAGACACGCTGAGCCATGAGGAGCGCTTGAAGATCGTCGACCATTTGTCGCTGATTCACCAGCATGGGATCGTCCATAACGACATTCGGCCCCACAATATCCTTGTTCGCCGCTGTGATGGTGGATTCCAAGTCCGATTCATTGACTTTTCGTTATCAAGGCGTACCTATGATAAGCATGCGCTGAAGAAGGAGATAATCCAGCTGGAATGTCTACTTTGGCCCAGTGGACGCACCTGACCACTCGTCAACCACCTGAGGCCAGGCTCAACATCACCGGATTTCGGGGTCCTGTGTTAGTACTCTATTTCATTTCTTTTCCTACTTAGCCTAGCAGCAGCTTCTCTTCCTTGCTTTCGCGCCAAACATTTTCCTTGGTAATATTGGTAGCAAAGGCCGAAAATACACTCCTGATGCTTTCTTGAATTTTTCTCAATCATCAACCATCGCCCATTTGATTCATAGTTCCCTTGACCACTTGTTCACTCGACCACTTGTTCACTCGACCACTTGTTCACTCGATCACTTCCTCACTCGACCACTTGTTCACCCGACCCTTTGTCTTTCCACCATTTTTTTTTCTTCTTTCATAGTATCACTGAAATAGGAGCAGAGCAAGAGAGAAGAGGCAAGGGTAAGGACAAGGAAGGAAGACAAGAGGCAAGGAGAATAGCAAGGGAAAGAGACAAGAGGGTGTAGGGACAAGAGGGAAGGGCAAGAAGGAATGAGGTTTATTGTACAAAAGGGACAGGGTATTTATAAGTCTATGATGTGAGGGATAATGACGAGGTAATAATAAGCAGGGGTAGTATGTAAGACAGACACACAAGATATTAACAAGGAAGTAAGGAACAAGGCAGCCAAAAACAGGAGGCAATCTACAATCCTGTTACAATCACTCCTTTCGTTTTCCTATTCACATTTTCATTATGTCAAACCTTTCTCAATCTCTTTTGAACACCGCTACGACCTTGGCTATGAGAGATGCTGACCGCACAATCCTTAATGCGGCCATAACCTCTTCATTGGCTCAACTCGAAACACCTGCCCCCATCCCCCACAAACCTCTCAAACCAACCTGTTACAATGGAAAAGTTGATGCACTCTCCTCCTTGAACTTAATTGAAGGGCTTGAGGAATACTTCACCATCGTTGAGTTGCCCGCTCAAAAATGGGTACCCTACGCTGTTGGATACTTGGGAGAGGCGCGAGGATGGTGGCGATCCACTAAACATCATGTGGACACCACCTCATGGATCAACTTCAAAGCAATGTTTCTCAAACAGTACACCCCACCTGATTCTATCAACGCAGCTCGACGACGGCTTTCGTCTCTCCGACAAGGTTCCAGACCAGTCCTCGATTACATCACTGCTTTCGACGACTTACTTCGACTTCTTCCTTCACTCGATCCAGACCAAGCCTCATACATGCTCACTGCAGGTTTGGAACGGGAACTGTCGAAGAAGGTAAGACTTTCACGTCCATCCACTCTGGAACAAGCCATTGAGAACGCCACCTGTCTCTACGACATACTCAACACCCACGAACCACAGTCGCTCCTTTCTTCATCTTCATCTTCCTCTCACCCTGAGAGTAAGATGAAGAGGGTAATTGGGTATGAATCAGACTGGTGATGAAAATGTCTTTTATTTTATGTTTTAGAGATGAGCGATAATAGTAGCAAGGGTTGGTGTTAACCACTATGAGGATAGAAGGAGGAGGAAGAGAGGGAAGAGAAGGAGGAGAGGGAGGAGAGGGGTGAGAGGGGTGTGAAGTTGGCGAGGAGCGTCAAGTATTTGTTCGTATCGCATGTGCTGCGCTCCTTCCTTTTTGGGACGAGTTCTACCTAATTAGGAAGGTGTCCTGAGTGCAAGAAAATTTAGTACAGTCGAAAGTGGTTTTTATGATCATTTTGATAGTGAAATTGATCAGAAAAAGTAATTGGAACATTTGAATTGACCTCCACAAAAACACTACTGTAAAGCGGCGAAAGTATATAGCGCACGTGACGGTCACGCAGTCACACCCCATCTTTGGAGAAAAACGAATAGAGAAAAAAAAAGAATCACTGTTGCTTGGCGGCATCCGTCTGCAACTCCTCGTCTCTCAGGGCTACGCAAGCATGCACCAACTGCTTCACCATCTTTCCTACGCTCTGCGCTTTTCCCAACCCTCCTTGTGCACTCTGTCGGACATGCTTGAGACCATCGACGGTGAGAAAATCGCTATTCCCCGCTAGGTGCTTCAGCGTATGAGCGGCCATATCGAGATCAGTGTCTGCAAGCGGCGAGCTTTCAGATCCGTCGTGATTTGTGGAACCACTTCCACCTCTGTGAGTGTTGCCTTGTCCCTTTCCATTTGCGTCGCCCTGGTGTGGCTCCTCCTCAAACAACTCGCCCTTGTCCTCCACCGTCCTGAAAGATAAGACGTTGCCCTGCCGAACCTCAGCGATGAGATGTTCGAAATATGCCCGCTCCCTCTCTGCATATTGTTCGTAATGAGTGCTCTGGAGCCTTTCCGGCTGTTCGCCTCTGGTTGCCTGTCGTCGTTGTAGTTCCTCGCGCATTGCTGTTGGAAGGACGGGGGTTTTGGCGAAGCAGTTACGTAGCGTGGAGGGCTTGGTGTCGCATATTCGCCTAATGGCACCCTAAGATAGATGGAGACAATAGACTAGACTACCCTTAAGCTACATACCAGGGACAGCATAATAGACTGTACCTGGTGTGCCTAATACAATCCCTCTCTTTGTCTCATCAGTTACTTGTGTACGTATGATAAAACCTTAATATATCGCACTTGGTTTGACTCCACGCGTGTGGAATCAATGTCCATGCGCGCCCATTAGAGATACTTCTCGTTCTATCGAAGGTTCGAGCGTAATATGTCTCGAAGCCAAGCATATCCAAGAAGGCCCTTTTGAATGACTGATGACCCCGGCGTCTAGAGGTTGAGTAACAGATGTTGAGTGTGCAGGAAGCCGCTGTATGCGAAGATGTTTCCACTGAACCCCTTGTTTAGCATCGCGCATATCGACGTTGTTGTGTGATCCGGCAGAATCCAGAAGAAGAAGAGTCGGTTGTGAAAGCTCGTCATCCAACAGTTGTAGCCACCGTACAAAGACTTCGCGGGTCATCCATCCTGAGCTCGTTCTTTCTACGACCATCTCCGCGGTTGCCTCGTTGCTAATACCACTTGTGAAGTGTTCAGCTAAGGAAAGTCAAGCAGCCGTAAGGTTAGCATATCGAGCAGAAAATAGAAAACAAAACAGATCGACTTTGTTAAGTATTACCGAGAATCAAAGGTTTCAATGCACGCATTGTCTTGGCCTTAGTGAGGGATGTGCCTGAGGCGTTAATACAAAACAAAATGGACACTCTGCACTCCCTGAAAGCTTTGGCACCAGACCTAGAAAGCGGTGTGGTGTAAGACTTGGTGTCCAACTCCTTCAGGTACATTCCGGTCTCGTCGCAGTTGAAAATGTTGTCGGGAGTGTACTGAGCGCAAAGCTGGCGGATCTTGACGAGCTGGGGTTCGATCGCATCCAAATCCACTGATCCAGCCTCCCCATGAAGCTGATAATACGACAAAGCATTCCGTTTCTTGAGCGAGTCAAACCAGTAGGCCGAAAATGATAGAGGTGCCTCGGAAACCGTACCTCCCGATTCATCCTCCAGGTCGCAAAGAACCATACATGCGGTACGTCCAGCCTCCTTCAGCATTTTTCCATTCACAGGAACGTTCGACTGTCGTCGATCTTGTAACCAGTGAAGGAGGACCTGCTCGACCAGCAGGTGCTTGCGGCTGACGATGTAATGAGCGCCAGGATGGGACGACTTCGCTGCAGTGCGTATCTTTAGTTCCCGCTTGAGCATCGCATGAAGGGTAGGCTGTTTAAGGTCGACTCCTATCGCCGGTCCAAAGGAATGCTGTGAAAACTTGAACGGGAGGTTCTCCTTCCGATTGTCGAGATAGTGATAAATGTCCAACAGTTCGACTTGGGTTTCCAGGGTGTGGGAGACTCTTGTCATCGGGACCTCATACTCGCTGGCGGTAGGAAACGTATGGAGAGCGCTCATATCATTTACTCCTGGCACTTGTCAAAAGGTCAAGGTACCGGAGATGGCGAATAGTCTGTATTTCATCAAGCTGTTTTTTTGTGTATGTTTTTTCCTTCTTGGATACCAGCATAGTAGGAACAGGTTTATGTTTCTTAACTCGCACCTTCGCCTTCTCCGCAAAGTACTGGGGTCTTTTGTTGGAGTTGTTTGTTGACATGACGTTGAGGAGTGGGTTAATGAACGTATGCATGCTGGAATTGTTCTCTATTCGTTTTTCTCCAAAGATGGGGTGTGACTGCGTGACCGTCACGTGCGCTATATACTTTCGCCGCTTTACAGTAGTGTTTTTGTGGAGGTCAATCCAATTACTTTTTCTGATCAATTTCACTATCAAAATGATCATAAAAACCACTTTCGACTGTAATTCTCGCGCCCTGCTCCCTAAGTCACCATTTGTTGCCTTTCTTCCTTTCTGCCACCATTCCCGCACTTCCAACGCCCTTACCTTTCCACCACGCGCTTTCTTCACCGCCTTTACCATCGCTCGATTCCTTTCCTCACTCTTCCCTCATCTCGTTGCTGGGCCACCTTCCCCGTGCGTTTTTATCGTCTCTTCCCCACCTTTTTCCTCTGTTCGACTTTACTGTCAGTTTGTTTCTCACCGCCCTTATTGTTATTTCCACACCTATCGCCATAGTTTTTCATCCCTTCTTACTTTTCCTTTCCACCCCACGCCTTCTCTTTTTTTTTTTTTTTTTTTTTTTTTCTTTTTTTTCCATTCACCCCTCGCCCTCACTACACCCCGCACCTTCTCCACAACCCTCACTCCGTTTACAACCCTCACCTTTCCCCTTCCACTTACTTTCCTTTCACTCTTCACAACACCATGTCCAACAACCTTCTGAACCTGTTCTGTCTTGTCGACGGAGAGGCCACCACCAATGCGTTCCCTGTCGAGATCGAGTCAACCAAGACCATCGGCAACCTCAAGGAGGTCATTAGGACTAAGAAGCCCAATGAGTTTCGCGGTGTCGATCCAGACAAGCTCACCCTTTGGCGCGTCTCAATCCCTGTTGTTGCAGCCAACAAACACAACCCGATTGTCCGGAATGAAGTTGAGTCGTCAACAGAGCTGGACCCAACCGACGATGTTTCCGATGTCTTTCCACAAGCACCACCCAAGAAAACGATCCACATCATTGTCCAGCGCCCCCCGCCAGGTAATCAAACGCGCTTTGTTCTTACTCATACCTTGCGCATGAGCTTGATTTAACATATCGACTAATGTAAACAAATCGCGCCATGCTCTTTGCTTTTTTTGTTCAGCTCAATCTCCTGTCAGCGATTACATTTCCCAAAAGAGACCAACGGCTGATGGTAAGGATTCCTCTTGAATGTGTGTCGTCTAAACGATTCCTCATGATTTCGCAATATGACTAACTCTTTTTTTTATTACAAATTTACAATATAGAACTGGATTTGCCGGCCAACAAAAATATCCGTATTACCGAAGGGAGACGATATACGGCTTCTGATGGAAAGGTTGTTGATCTACCTCCTTCATGGATTTGCATTCTCGCGAACACCGAATTCGAACCCGAACCGCGAGCAGCCTTCGATCACCTCAATGACGACCTTCGAGCTGGCGACGTAATCATTGTACTGAGTATGGGCCAAATCCCCAAGGACTTTGGACTTTACGGCCAAGGTCACAAACTTTTCGTCACCGAGCAAATGCTGGAACTTTGGGATGAAATGCATCGGGACCAAGAGCGTACATACAGACGAATCCTGTCCGGTCCGATGGGTGTTGGCAAGTCGTATCTCTTCTATTTCCTCGCAGCAAGGGCGTATGCTGAAGGATGGCTTGTCCTCAATGAAAATTTTTACGCTAGTCACGCACAATCGAATTGATAAGACAAGAGAGGGATCTTTGTTAACAGCCCAGACACCTCCATTTATGTCGGTGTCTGGTCATATGACTAAATTACTGTCTCTAGCCTAATTACATTAGCTGACACCCCCGAGACAGGCAAATATGCGACAATCCCCTCCCATGGGAAAGGCTGAAAGCCGTCTGCTTAAAAACGCATATATGCTCTGCTCGTTTGTGTCTAAGAATCACTTGGACTCTGTGCATTATTTTACTGTTCTGCCAGGAAAAAATCTGAATAAAAACCTTGCAGACAGGTTGAGGATCAACAATCCTCACATGACATTAATTGTTCACTCAAGGCAAAAAATCGTTTAAAAATCCTTGCGAGGGGAAAACCCAAGAGGGAAAACCTCGAACGTGATTGTAGGGGAAGCGGAAAAACCCCTACTGCATTATTCATCGGATGCACTGATGATGCATGCTAATGACGATCAGGCATACGCCCGCGAATCGTCCTAAGCTCAATACTCATCTTCTCGCCATTAGCATTATTTCTTCGCAGTCGTTTAGACCTGCGTCGATCGACCAATTGATCTTCTTCTTCGTCGGGGTTTGCACGCTTGCATGTACCCTTATTAAGAGCATCACCATTGGATATGTTCTTTGATGTTTTAGTAGCACCTTTACGTTGCGATGGATTGAGCTCCTGCTCTTGACCCTTAGTCCCGAGAGTCGCGGCCGTTTGACGAGGCTGCGTTAGAGATTGCGATCCTGGTAGGTTTTTAGTCTTCCAGTAGTCTGTGATACACTTTCTCTCAATAAAATTCTCTTGAGGCTCCCAGGTTTCCTCTTTGTACCCTTTCCATTTTACGCGGTATTCCATCACCCCCCTAGGTCCATGCCTGTGGTTGAGAACTTTTTCTACTACGTATGTGTCAGTTGCTTCAAAATCGTCGAGCACAAGCTTTAGCTGCGACGGCGCAAATTTACGACCTAACTCTTCTCCTGTGGCATCCTTCAACACATAGGATCCACCAGTTGTTCGTCTGACTACAATATAAGGGCCTTCATACCTAGGCGAAAGCTTGTCGCCCAAGATCGGGTCCAAAGACATAACCTTTGCTCCATCAGGGAATTCACTGTGCAGTACTGTTCTATTGAAACGCTCAATCATTCGACGTTGAGTTTCGCGGGTCTTAGTGTCAATCGCTGGAAAGACGGTCTTGGTCATGTACTCAAGCCGCTTTAAGAGCTCCTCCTGGGATGATAACTTCTCTGTCGTGTCCGAAAAATTGCTAATACCATTATAACGCCGCGCAAAAAACAAAGAAAATGGGGACGAATTGTGTAGAGCCACAATTCTGGTGTTCATAGCTAGCTGTGCCATAGGAACATGTTTCGCCCATGCTTGTTTATGGTCTTGAACCTCTTTGCGAATGATAGTGCATGCTGTTTTCACATGATTTTCGGCGACTCCGTTTCCGCGAGGGTGATAAGGGGTGAGTAACCTATGTTGCACTCCCATAGTGGTAGTCATCACTTGCACCGCCTCGTTAACGAATTCTCTGCCATTGTCAGATTGGAGGATACGTGGAAAACCAATAGTGGTGAAGATTTTGAACAAAACTTTTGCATTGGTCATCCCCTTCTTGTCAGGTATGGGTTCCAAGAAGACGAACCTTGTACAAACATCAACCAAAATGAGTAGGAATAGGTTTCCATCGCTCTCCACAGGGAATGGACCGGTCAAATCAACCGCCATATGTTCACCTGGTAACTGAGCATGAATGGCCGTCAGAGGGTGGTATCCCTTGCGTGCGATGTTGACTCGCTGGCATTCTTGGCAACGCTGAACATACTCCAAGCAATCCTTGGCCAGATTAGGCCACGTCTTTTGCAACGAATGAATATGCTTGACCATGGCGTTAGTCCCAATGTGACCAAGCGCATGTGCGTCGACTAACACTCCTCTTCTCTCAGAGACAGCTACCGTCACACGTTGAGTGTCGGCATCCTGGATTAAGTGAACATAACCATAAATTTTGCTCGGAGCAGATCCTTGAATGCGGGCTGTCCACAACTCTTGAGGAAACTGGCGAGACAAAGCGTCTGGTAAAACGTTCAGAACGCCAGGTCGATAAACAACCTTAAACGTGTAATCCAAAATAGTCTCCTGCCATGCGGTGAGCATCGAGTTCATATCCTTCTGCGTATGCATAAAAGTAAGAGCGCGATGATCCGTGAAAAGCGTAAAGTGACGGCCCCACAAATAGTAATGCAACTTCTTCAGTGCAAACACAATTGCCAATAACTCCTTCTGAGTTGTACTATAGCGTCGTTCACTGGGTTGCAATGAGCGCGCAACAAAAGAAATATATCTAATGTTTTTGGGATTCGCCTCGCCTTCCGGCAGCTGATATAAAATTGCTCCAATTCCAACGTTAGATGCATCTGTAGCAACATATAACGGCAAATTGAAATCCACCCAGCAAATTATGGGCGATAAGACCAACAAATTCTTTAGTGCCTCAAAGCTCTTCAACTGAGCAGCATTCAACGTAAATGGACCCACCACATTACGCATAGCATCTAGCGGAGCGCTAATGGTAGCTATAATGGGTACGTGATCGCGGAAAAAATTAAAAGTCCCCATATAAGATTGAACCTGCTTACCCGTAGTTGGGGGTTTCCAATCATTGATATTCACCAATTTATTGGGATCAATTCTTTTTCCATCAAGATCCACAATGAAGCCCAGCAACGCCACCTGCGTACTGTAGAACTTGCACTTGTCAAGGTTAATAATAAGCTTGGCATCAGTTAGCCGTTTAACCAACTCTATCATCTGAATCGCATGATCGCTTCTGTTCTTTGATGCGAGAAGAATGTCATCGATAAAATTTCTGACAAATTTCAAATCCCCAAGGATTCGGCTCATGCCACGCTGAAACAAACTGGACAAGGGCTTCAATCCAAAAGGAGCCTTCTTGAACATATATTGAATCCCGTTATGCATAAATGCCGTCAACGGCTGATCTTCTTCATGGATTGGTAATCGATGATACGCCTGCTTTAGGTCCACAGTCGAGAACACTGCATTGCCTCCAGCAAATTGCATGATGTCTGATATAAGTGGTACCGGAAAATTATCATCGGGTAGGTGCGCGTTTAAGGGCCGCGGATCCAAGCACACTCGGTAGAGAGTCTTGTTTCCGTTAGCATCTTTCTTAGCCGCTAGCGTTAATGTGTTGTTGTGTGCATTACCTGCAGGTGCTAATGTAATTACATCATCCTTCAGCCAATTCTGGATTGCTTCATCAAGAACCGGCATTTGCGATGCAGCAAATACTTTAGGTCTGCGGTAGAGGATAACGTCATCAGGGACTGGCAAATACACCTTCATTTCAGGTATAGTACAATGACTTGTATTTGGAATCTTGGCGTTTAACCTCAGCGACTCTTCTATACTCTTCATGAACGCGTCCTTTTCCGCAATAAATTCCTGCGTCTTTTCTCGTTCTGGAATCGTGAGAGGTATCAGCGTGGGCTTTTCGTCTTCAACTGGCGCTGGCATCCGTCCAGACGACTCATCTGCATCGGGTAGTCCAACGATATTGAATCCATAGCGGTGAAAGAGATCCATGCCAATGGTAACTGCATGACTCTGTTCAATAACCTCATATGGCGCGCTAAGCACATTCTGTCCACAGACAATCTCTACGTTTTCCGTTTCTCCAACGCGTTTAATGACAGACGAGTCAGCTAATTCAATGTATCCTTCCATTGGTTTAACCGGAATAGAATACTTTTTGACTACAGCTGCACTAATAAATGAGTGTGTGGCACCAGTATCAATGAGTGCAAGATGTCGCTCTTGATTAAGATAAACAGGAACAAACAGTCGATTATCCGGCTGATGTTTTCGTTTACTTGAACCATAGTGCTTGTGTACTAACTCAAAGTCCTTCTCTCCAAAGGAGAATAATGGGTAACCATCACATGCGTCTGACACTGGGTTATCACTAATTGAAAATCTTTCGAAGGCCCTTAGGTACTCGTCGTCTACTACATCCTCGATGTTGTACTCGGCCGGTGCATTATCTCTTCCTTCTTTAACAATGCCCATAGCTCCATACTTCACCTTTGCTTGGTCGACAGCCACTTTAGCATCACCGCTACCTTCCCCCCCGTCGAGAGGATGCATCGGCAATGGACCTACATGAACTCTCATACCCAAACCGGATTCACCACGCAGTTTGCTCTTCAATTCGATTTTCGCAATACCCTTTGCATTCTTCCTTTTCTTCTTTCTCTTCTTCACTGTTTCACTCCGTGGGTTGATGTCACTGACATTCTTCTCGTCAGTTGTTGTTTCATTCACTATGACTACTTCTGTTAAACTGTGCGACTGCTCCTCCAGTTCATGTACATCAGTTTGTTGCATCTCACTGCTTGTTTCCACCTGTTTGGAATGCAGAATGAAAGACGCGTCGTTAGTCATGCGGTCATGTTCGACTT